TTTTTTTCTGAAACTTCTCGGTTTAGTCACTTATGGAACTTCATTCGATGAAGATTCGAAATATTGCACAATAATCACAAGTTCTGATAAGAACGAAAGGCGCAATTGATAAATTATGATAAATGGAAATGAAAAATGCGTGTCATATCAATATCTATGAAGTGCAACAAATAAAACAATGAATATACATACAAAGAAACAGATGGAATACTATCGCTTTGGCATGTCACTGAGCAGAGGGAGAAGGCTGTATGGGAATCCTCCATTTACACGTCTCTGAAAAAGGATATGAGTGTTGGGAAGTTTTCTGTCTAGCTGTACCCTGTCGCCTGTTACCACCCGGTGGGAGAGCCCCAGTCTGTAAAAACTCAAGAATTTCAGAGATCTTTCTGATGAACTGCTCATTGAAAATGCTCCTTTAATCACTGAGGGGTCGAAATCTAGAAGTTGCTGTTCTCTATACACAACTCAGGCTTCAGAGAGTTTTCGGGAAGAGGTTCCTTTAAAGTGCTACTTTGGGAGGTTCTACTAGCACCTAGGTTCCAGCAACATAGTACAGGGCCAACTATTTATTTCTATTACTACTTACGAGGTTTCCAGATGATTTTCCATAATAAATCTCAATAAATCCTGATGTTTTTGTCCATGTTCCGTTGGTGGCGGTGGTATACTTGGAAGTGGTGGGGTAACTTGTAACGGTTGTTGTATTTGTTGTGGCAGTGTCTAAAAATGAAACTGACATAGCTCCCCATTTTTCAGTTGATATGAGGTTGAAAAAAATGATTTTAAAATTGACTTCATCAAGTTCAGGACAGACCGTTGAAGAAGAGTCGTTGAGATCTTCTGGTAAATCAAGACTAATAGCTAACGATGCTGTCGCTGTCTCTTCGTCATTCACAGCAATAGTTGAAATATGTGTTTTTGTCTGAAATATACGGTAAATAACAAATTCGAAAATAATTATTTAGGCGAGTACTGTATTTGTAGAAGATCGGGTGGGAATAAGATTTTCACAGGGAAAAATTTGATGAGTCAAAAATAGCATCGCTGGGGCGTTAAATCGGGATGTAAATTTGCGGCAAAAACAAATGCGTGGCGCAC